AGCCAAATGCTTTATAATATAGTATAGATTATTGTTAAAGGTGTCTAACAAATTTTTAATCTGTTTTAATTCTTATTTTTTTACTAACTTTAATGTTGTGTTTTTGAAACGTCCTTTTACAAAGAAAAGTAGAACAAATTGTGTTTTCGAAATATTTTTAGAAGAAAAATAAAAGTAAATATGAGGAAAGAGATTATAAGTTTTCTTTCAAAACTTTGCTTTCAAATGTGAAAAGAAAAGAAAATTAAAATCCTTTAAAAAAATTATTAAAATTCTAGAACCATCCAATATTTCATAATAAATTATATATTTGTAAAAAAGAAACATTTTCTTTCGCTCCTATTAAAAAACATGAAAAATTATTTTGTTTTTTTTTTCCTTTTCAAGTAGATAAAAAAATATTTCATTTTCCTTTATGTTCCCTTCAAAAAAAAATGCATTCCTTTTTTTCATTCTAAGAGGGTGTTTAGGATTACTTATAAAAATAACTTATTGACTTATTCCGGTAATAAGCACTTTTGGATGTTTAGATAAACAACTTATACCAGCATCAAACCGATAATAAGAAGTTTTTAAAGAAGTTAAATTATTTTAACTTATAATAAGTTAATAAGAACTTTTGTAGAAAAACATAAGTTTTTTTTTTCTAATAAACAATCTCAAACACCCCCTAAATTCGAAAATATAGTGTAACTTTTTTTATTTAATTTGTTACTAAATTCATTCGAAAATATGATATAGTTTGTTTCATTTTGAAAAAATCAGTTTAGATTTATAGTTTAAATATACATACTTATTGATTTGTATTTGAAGAATATTTATTTTAAAAACATATTTACATGACATCATGTGCATTTTAAGCACAAAAACTTTTGTTGACTAACTTAGATTTTCTATTTCTACCTTCGTTTTACATGGTTCCTCCACCCCATTAATTTCTTGGATTCGCCACTGATCATGTGTACATCGGGAATGAACATGAGTGACTTCCATTCCTCCTAAATTTGTTGATAAATGTTTCATTACCCGATACCATATAATCATATGAAGTTACATGCCAGGTTAAGTAACACTAAAATGACCAAATTAATACAAGAGAACATGATTGATTTAGGGGTCATTTACCAAACGCTTACTCGGGTAAGTGAACATCAAGTCATATTACCTTACCGAATAAATATGGTAAGGATCAAAAATCTTACCTAGTAAGAGCGAGACAAGGACCAAGAATCTTACCCGGTAAGTGAGGGCGACGACTCTTACCATGATAAGCGCTTACCGGGTAAATTGTTTCATACGATACCGTTTTGGTGGACTAAAATCTTACCCGATAAGTCAATGATAGTGTTAAATTTTCTCGGTAAGCGTTTACCGAGTAAGTATTAGGTAAACGGCCATGTTCGACGATCAACAAAATGACTGATATGTATTATGACTTGTGTAGGCATCGTTCAAACAAAACATGTTCCATATATTGGGAAAAAAAATGCATAACCAAACAACTCACTCGCTTTTCTGTAATGCAAGACAAAAGAGATCGATCAAAGAATTCCCTCAAATCTCGAAGAACGAAGGGAAAAGAATCGTTACGTAAAAATGTAAAAGAAAAGATTGCAAAGAAGGGTTAAAATCAAAAGGAACAAAAGTTGCTTACCAAGTGAAATGGTGTTTTCTAGTTGGGATTTGGGTATGGGATTGGGAGGTGTATAGAGAAAAGCCATTGATATACAATCTTCAAATTCCCCTTTGAAGATTGGTCTCCCTATCACATGCTTGTATTTTCCTTCACTCCATGTCTGCATTTGGTCACACCATTTTCCATTATTATTTATAGAAAAACCCTTTAATACATGAATCATAAACAACTCTTAATCAAATTTATTTACATTTTATGTGATAATATTTGTAGTAATGTGTTTATGTTTTTTACTTAGTAATATATTATAAATAGTGGATTGGGATCTGGTAAGAAATAAGTGTTTTTTTTTTATTTACCTGGATATTCAACCCGTTATGCGAGCCGACTAATTCTAGGACAACCACCTGTGTTGCGGAGTCACCGCATTTGAACGTCCATGACCACAAGGGGATTTTCATCCTTGTGGTTGAGAAATAAGTGTTACGATGAGAATGGGAGAACAAACTTTCATCTATGTTCAACTACTTTTATTTACATATTTTTATTATCGTTTTTTTTTTTCAAAACTACATAAAATCGTATTATATCGATAGAGACAAAGAATAAAAACTAAACATCAAAATCGAGATTTATCTCGTTGCATTGCGCGAGTACTCTTCTAATGTGTGTGTGTGTGTGTATATATATATATATATATAGGGTTGGGTTCACGTGAGACCAGCCTGTTTTCGTGAGACCCGTGAGACCACATTTTTACACGTAAACTTCACAGCAAAAACACTGTGAAGGTTTTAAAAAGTCGAACCTTCACAGCAAAAACACTGTGAAGGTTTTAAAAAAGTCGAACCTTCACAGCAAAAACACTGTGAAGGTTTTAAAAAGTCACCTTCACAACATTTTTGCTGTGAAGTTTCAAGTGTAAAATGCTGGTTTCACGGGTCTCTCGAAAACAGGCTAGTCTCACATGATCCCAAGTCTATATATATATATATATATATGTGTGTGTGTGTGTAAAGTCCCCCTACTGAATAAGACATTTTTTAAGTTGATTGTGAGTTTCATTGAGCTGCTAACATGGTACCCTTAAAGCAAAACTAAAATTTATGTTCTATTGAGTTATAAAATTCATCCATTCTTCAACAATTTAGGGTTCTTCACCTATTTAGGGTTTTGCTACTGAATCGAAAGATGATGAAGTTGAATTCCATGTTAATTAAATATTGTTTAATGAATTATTAGATATGCATTAGCAGCAAAAAAGGTAGAAGTAAAATGATGAAGGTACCTGCAATAGATCGCCAATGGTGATGACCAAAGCATTGTTATCAGGAGAAAACGAAACCCATCCTTTCTTGGAATAAACATGAAACTCTGAAGATCCATTGCAAACATGAAAGCAGAGTGTGTGAGGGTGTTCAGATCCTCTAATCAGCATTCGAATCACATCATATCTTAACGAGTTCATATACTGATCATCGTTTGATTTGGAATCGGTATTCTGGCAATGTTTGTAGAGATAACATATAGATCCGGCGATTTCTTTCTCTCTTGTTTCATCATCATCGAATCTGGATTTTGGAGTAGCAGCATCAAGGAACAGTTTCAGTAGGGTTTCGGATATGTTTTCGATCTGAGACATGAGGTTTTCCATTTTTTCACTGCAAAAATTCAATGAAATCGAGATTTGTTTCATGATTAATGGAAGAAGTTTGATGAGATCAGTGAATCGAGATACCTGAAATTTGAATATTGAATAGGCCAAACCTCCTCCATCTCCGATTTCAGTGAATCGTCTCTACACCAAACGAATTCTTCACTCGGTTCCTTCTCGTCTCCATGGAACTCAACAAAACCGTATAACCTCTCGGCAGACCTTAATACAACGGATTTCTTCTCCGGCGGCAATTGGAATACTCCGGCTCCAGAATTGGAAACAGAAGATAAAAGTTGGTCGGAGATTCCATGGTTGACGAGCTCAAAACAACCTGTTTGTGCAATCACTTCAATAATTTCAGCAAAATTTTGACCTTCTGATAAACCAGAAAATTTCAGCACTTCGAAATCGAGCTTCGGAAGGTTTTGGATCTTCGAATTTTGACGAGGAAACACCCGATCTGGCAACACAAGATCAGGGACACGGAGTGAGCGGTGGAGAAACTCAGTGAGGATCTCATCATTCGCGACGGAGGATCTACGGCCGGAAGCAACCGGAGATGGTGGTGGTGCACGGAAATCTAACGGTATATTGTGCGATGATTCCGGTGAGTTAGCCATGAATATGACCGGAAAAACGTCTGGAATCCAACCGGCACCGGATCTGTGATGAAACCGATCAAAAAACAGCTGTTAATTCTGTTTTCAGATCAATATTCAAAGAAATTAAACAACAATTTTATAGAGAAAAAAGTAGAGAATTTAGGACGAAGCAGCAATGATGAGATTGTCTGGAAGTAATCCAACATTGCGTCCCAGTTGAACACTTTTCTGCTTTGCCTTTTCAAGCTTTGCTGGTGAAAGGGAAAAGGCGGGAATCGAGAAACCGGTTCCAGATGGATCACATGACGTCACCCGGTTCTATTGGGCCGGCCCATGTCGCTCTTATAGTCGGATACTGTAATTACTCTAAATGGGCTGGGTTTTAAAGTCCACGGGTCGGGTTATTTTGCTTTTTCTTTTCGGATTTTTCCATCGGGTTCAATATATCTCAGTGGGCCGATACAACTAGGATGGCCAAAAATCAGTCCAGGTCCGAGATTTTTCTTTTGTAGTCAGTCCAGCCCATGTAGACATGGTCAAAAACCGGTCTCGGGCCGGGCCGGATCAAATCAGTCTTGGGCTGAAAACAGTAGCAATCATGAATGGTCCCGGTTAACCTAGAAGATTGATGTGAAACAATAACTTCTATTGGTGATTTATCATCTATCAAAAATATCGATATTTCCGCAAACAAACTAGTGGCATTCTCGATAGAATCGGAAGTCTGAAAGGTATCCAAAAGGTTCTTACTATGTTCTATATGTTAAGCAATTGTTAAGATAATGTCAGCAATGCTAATTTTATGAAAATCAAGAGAATGTTGCAAAATGTTCGGACGTTTGTGAGTTTACAAAAATAAATAGTTTTATTTATTCATATTTCATACTTCAACATCACATCTTATTAATCATAAGTTAAATAAAACTTAAGACTTCAGAATGTAGCACCTCTTAAAAAACAAACGTCATCTAAACATATCATTTAGGTAATTAAACGGTTAACAATTACATATTTTAAAAACTATGTGTCATTTTTATTGTGAACATTTATTTTGATACGAATAAAGTAAATAATTTTAGAAATGAATGTTGAAGAAGAAAAGATTTCACATGGGCCACTTGGTAGTTGGTATACCATTCTATGGGCCATTTTTTTGCTTATAGTATTAGATGACTATGGTCTATAGCCCATCAGTATGGGTTAGTTGTTTTTTTTAAGTAGTGATGGTCAAAAACCGGTTTTGGGTCGGGCTGGGCTAGGTCGGTCCTTACAGGTTTTGGGTCTTAACAACGTCGACCATAATCGGTCCCGATCAAAAATGATGAGTCTGGTTAAAGTACAGTGCAACCGGGTACGCTGAGTTGGTCCCGGGCGGGCCGGTCCTTTGCCGGCTTGGCCATCGTTATTTTCTAGTATGCTTTATCACCTTGTTGATGTATATTTTTTTGGTTCAAATGCATGAAATTCTTTTTTACCATTTTGAATAAAGTCAAATAAGAATATAATTAACGATCAGTATTTTAAAATACGTCTTAACAAACATAAGATAGAAAAAATAACTTGTAGAATATCGGTGGAGTTGAACCCAATTTTTTGAGTTATGATACCTTGTTCCACTTAAAATGTACTTTTTTGTGAATATATATATATATATATATAGAGAGAGAGAGAGAGAGAGAGAAAGAGAGTTGGATTCCGGTAAAAATGAAAGTTTTCGTGAGAAGCGTGAGAAGAGATATCTACGACTGGATCAATCATAATTGAATGTTTACACTGATGAGGTATATTGAGATGCACCGAATCAGTTCTAATCTAAAGCGCAATTCATGGGTGCACTTGAGATGTGAGACTCGTGAGACTACTTTTTACACTTGCAACTTCACATCATAAAACTGCAAAACACTGTGAAGGTTTGGATTTTTTTTACCTTCACAGTGTTTTGTTGTGAAGTTTCAAGTGTAAAAAAGATGGTCTCACGAAATAACTCCGTCTCACGTGACTCAACCATGTATGTATATATGTGTGTGTATATATATATATATATATATATAGAGAGAGAGAGAGAGAGAGAGAGAGGGAACGATCAAATGCAAACCACCCAATTTGTACAAACCGTGCAAACCACTCTCATCCGTCGATTTCCTTGTTTGATCTTATGAAAAAAATTCATGAAATTGTTTTATCTTGTGAAACTGTTTCATATAATTTTTTTTAAATAAAGTTGTTTCATATATGGTTATGAAATTGTTTCATATATTTTTTTTTAAATAAAGTTGTTTCATATATGGTTATGAAATTGTTTCATATAATACTTTTTTTTATGAAGTTGTTTCATATATGGTTATGAAATTGTTTCATGTAATATTTTATGAAATTTTAATAAAACTGTTTCATGTATTTCTCTAAAATAAAAATAATGAAGATGATAATATCCATGATTAACACCCTCTACAAAAAAAGATTAATCAACCTCTCATAATTACAATAAAGTGAACAAAATGAAAAATTATGATTGGTTGAATAAGATTTGTACGGTTTGTACAAATAACGTGGTTTGCAAAGTAAACCTTATATATATAGGGTATATTTCAAATGCAACCATGTCCAGTTGTACAACCAATGCAACCCAATCAATTGAAATATTTATAGAAACGATAAGTGTTAATTTATTATGATTTAAATATTTATGAAATATGACTATAGTTCATTAATTATAATCAATACTTTACATTAGGAAACAATCAAAACTTTTATTAAATCACATATTCATCAAATTAAATAGACGATTGATATTGAGTTGTATTAGTTGTACAAATGTAAAAGGTTAGTATAATAACTCACTCCTCTCTCTCTATATATATATACTCTCTCTCTATATATATATGTGTATATATATATATATATATTTATATATCTCGAAAGCTTTTAACTAAAAGTATAATGTTTAAACACTTTAAATAAGACAAAATATAACGTCTTGTTTGCTCCCATTGGATTGGGCTACCTCTTGTTTATGACGCTTGATTACTCCAAATGGATTTGATTACTTGGGTTTGTATTACTTTTTGTTTGAATTTCATCAATTTAGGGGTCGTTTATCGAGTAAATGCTTACTGGTAAAATACTCATCTTCATTTACCTTATCGTACAACATCCGTCACCATGAAAAATGGATTATAGGTAAGTATCTTAAATCCGATAAACGTTTATTGGGTAAGAGTCGTTTTTCATACTTATGGGATAAGAATCTCGACCATTGTTTGTCTCTTACCAGGTAAGTTTCTCAGTCCAATAAACAATACTTAATGTATAAAATATGGTTTTTAAAAGTTTTTATCAAATGTTTTATAATATAACTAGAAGGGTACTCATACAATGCAGCGAAATACATATCGATTTTAATATTTTATTTCATTTTGTCTCCGTCGATGTTATAGTATAATTTTATGTGATACTGAAAAACTGATAATGTTTTTAATTTTTGAATAAAATATAAATTGGAAAAGAATGTATCGATTTTAGTATCAAATTAAATATTTAAAAATTCTTATTTTTTGTGCAATTTTCTCAATTTAATTTTGTGTTATAATTTAATTTAGATTTAATTATAAAATCATTTATTTTTGGTTTAATAATATATTTATAAAGACAATATTTAATATTTTATTAGAATTCAATTATTATCCTAAATATATTTTAGATTTTTAATGAAATACTTATCAAATATTTGATTATGTTTATATACAGTTAATTACATGATTTCAAACATGAAATTTTAGTAAGTTGTACATATGAACAATTTATTCGTAATATTAAATTTAAGTAATATACATCAATAAATAATACTTTATGCATAAAAAATAATTTTTAAGAATTTTTATCAAAAATATCTTACTGTAAAAATAAATAAATAAAAATCTAAAAATTAAAACATATTTTTAAGTATTTATAATAATAAAAGTAAAAAATATCATACTTTTACACCAATATTTTAATGAATGCGTGTATTAATTGAAGAGTAAATTACGTTTTCAGTCCTTATAGTTTGTTAAAATTTGCGAATTTGTCTTTATAGTTTTAAAATTTTGGTTTTTATCCTTATGGTATGAAGTTTATTTCTATTTTCGTTTCTGAACTTAAAACACTACTTTTAAGCATTAAACACCAAAATAGAAATAAACTATAAATGTACTAAAATACAGTAAATTTAAATTATAAGAACAAAAAGGTAAAAAGTTATACATTACCGAGGTAAAAATTATAATTTCAAAACTATAAGGACAAATATATAACTTTTAACAAACCATAAGGACTAAAAACGTAATTTACTCTTAATTGAATAAAGTTGGTACGAAGAAAGCGTGTGGCTGTCATGAGTTGCCCACCAACGCAGCGACTCGACGCGGTTTGGCAAAATTATCACTTTAACCCTTCGTAGTTTGCTTTAATGACTCTTTAAACCTTATGTTATACTTTCTATTTAACCCAAATTGCATGAAAAAGTAACGTATTTTAACTTAATTGTTATTTTTGGTGACATACTTTCAAAATTTTCATTTTAATACCTAAAATGTAAATCTTAAACATTTAAGTACCCGAATAACCAGTTAAAGCATTAATTGATTACTATGCTGATGTGGCGAATGATGTAGTATCCGGTTAATGCTTCAGCAAATAATACTGAGTTAGATACCACATCAGCATGGTAATCGATCAATGATTCAACCGGTTACCTAGATACTTGAATGTTTAAACTTTACATCTTATGTACCAAAATAAATTTTTTGAAAATACGTTACCTAAAATAGTAATCAAGTTAAAATATGTTACTTTCTCATATAATATGTCCTTCTATTTATTGTTATCATGTTAGTATATACTAATGACAGCATGATGGCTCTATTGAAGAGCCTATCATAGAAAGCCACGTACAATATTAAATAACATGTATTATATAAATTATATATATAATTATTGACAATCCAAATAAATCATACTAATTTACAAACCCTTTTTATATGTTGTTTCACATATGAAACAATATGTGTGAGAATATAGTGTTTATACAATTTATTTCTTATGTGAAACGTATATGACTGTTTCGTGTGTGGAAAAAAGTACCCTGAACGATTTATATATGAAACAACTTTGTATAAACATTCTATTTTCACACATACTGTTTCATACATGAAACAACACATGAAACTTGTTTGTAAGTAATGTACCTTTGTTAGGTTTATAAGGTAGCGTTTGGTACGCATACTAAACGGGACAGGACGGAACGAGACAAGACGGGACAGAACGGGATGGTACAAGACTAATTGTCTGTCCTATGTTTGGTACGACTAGGACAGAACAGGACAAAACTGTTAAAATGACCATATTACCCCTAAATGTTGTTCAATGTTATTTTAAATCATTGTTCCACTGGGTTACCCATAGTAATCATCCAAATAACGAACAAAAACTAAAAGTACAAACAGGCTTCAACATGTCGATTTTTTTTTTATCAAAAGTTAAATAAGAAATTATTGAGAAGTTAAATCAGAATTAAGCAATTTAAGTCACAAAGTTAAAATCCTTTACAATTTCAAGAAGATTGAATTGGCATTTTGGCARCGTCATTGACTAACAAGAATAACTGATGATTCAACCAAAAAAATTTCAGGAAATACAAGAAGAAAAGTCAAAAATAAAAGGGTAACATAGTCATTTTATATATAGTCCCATGTTGTTCCACATTTTTTTGTAAAAAATTATCAAGTTTTGTCCCATGAAATTTAAAAAAAGTATCATCTTGTCCTATGCATTTTCTGTCCATGGCATGTCAAACATGAGATTATTTTTTTTTGTTCCGTCCCGTCCCATGTCGTTTGCATACCAAACGCACCCTTAATGAACAGGACCTACATTTAATACCCATTAAATTTATGGGAACCAATGTATCATGTACTATTTCACATGATTTTTTTTTTACAATTAAGATATGGATTTAATGTATTGATGAACATATATTCTTTTTATTATCATAATGTGAACATTTTATTATGTGTTTGTTAAACAAAAAATACAACTAAAAGTTTCAAATTATGAATCGAATACATATGAAACAAACACATCGTAAAACAAAATACATGTTAATTAATATATTAAATTATAGACTTAGATGAAAAAAATCACGTGAAACAATATTTTTCACAACTATCACAAAATATATGAGGTTCTCATTTGATTATGTCACTGTAAAAGAACGGGACTGTATGTATATGTCAATAAGTTATTCACATACGTGATAGATATAAAGGATATAAATACATGTTCAATCACAAAAAATTAATAAAACTTAAATTTTTTTTAAAAACGACAAATTGCATGAAAAAACAACGTACTTTAACTTTATTCATATTTTTGTTATTAGTGTAATCTTAGAGCTTACATTTTGGTACATAAGATGTAAAGTTTTAAACATTTAAGTATCTAGATACTCGATTGAAGTATTAACCAATTAGCATGTTGATGTGGGGAGTGATGTGCTGAAATTGGGTGGAAGAGCAAATAATACTGAGTTGGATATTATATCACTCGCCACATCAGCATTGTAACCGGTTAATGCTTTAACCGGTTACTTGTATACTTAAATGTTTAAAACTTTACATTTTATATACCAAAATGAAAGTTTTAAAAATACGTTATCCAAAATAGAATTCAAGTTAAAACAAATTACTTTTTAATTTATTTTTTAATAAAATATCGACTAATTTAACAAGATCAAATAAGTTTACTACATTTTTGTGATCAAATAGTGAATAAAAAGTTGAACATTTTGAGAAAAAGAGAACTTGGAGGGTCAAAAGTTCATTAAGTCAAAGTTTGAGGACCTAAAGGTAAAATCCACCATGTGTCAAGTCGTTTCCTCTTTTAGCCCTCACGTGATCTACATAATTGCTACTTTTTGTTGAATTAAATAAAAAATTTAAGTAATAATAAAATAAAATAATTTTTTTTGTGCAAATAAAAAAATGATAATTAATTTAATTATATTTTAACAACTAACCGATATCTCACCAAACCCTTTACCCGGATCTTTCTTTCTTCCTTGAGTGAAACCACCAAAAAATTTCCCAACCATTTCTTTTAACATCTGGTTACTTAATCTGTAATGCACCATTTAAAACACAAAAAATGAGGGTTAGACCAAAAATTTGAGTCATTATAAAAGAATTGTTTTTATCTTGAAATTGACTTTGCCAAATCAGTTTTTTATCTGTCACATAAGTTTTCTCTTTCCTACGTATTTCATAAACCTTTCACTCGATTAAACTTTTCAAGTCGAATCGAGACATTCGAGCAAACGGTATTTTGAGTCGAATTATGTTCATAAATCATACAATAAAAATTACAAAATTTGTCAATCTCGAGCCCTAAATTGAAAAAGTTATTCGAGCTCGAGCTATGTATTTTTTTTCCAAGTCCGACTCGAATAACCTATTACTCAACTCGACTCGTTTATACCCCTATATATGACTTTTGATTTAAAAAAATACAAAAACCAAAAACGTTTTGAGTCAACGTTTCAATTAAAGCTATTCGATATAGCCAATTTTGACATCTATAATACACCGTATAAATATCTAAATTATATATTTGATATAATTGAATATTATAACTTTAAAAAATATAACAAGTTAAACTATACTTGAGATCACGTGAGATCAGTCTGTTTTTGTGAGACCACTTTTTTACGCTTGAAACTTCACAGCAAAACGTTGTGAAGGTAAAAAAAAACCAAACCTTCATATAAAAAACACTATATTATAAATAAGTTAGTAAAAACTCTTAAAAACCATTTTTATGCATTAAGTACTGTTTATTGATGCATATTACTTAAAATTCCAGAGTACAAGTAAATTGTCCGTATATACAATTTATTAAAGCTCCATGTTTGAATTTGTGTAACTAACTACAGATAAAAATAATCAAATTCCAAATAAGTATCTCATTTTAAATATAAAAAATCTAAAATATATTTAGAATAATTATTAAATTCAAAATACTAAATATTATATTTATAAAAGAATTATATTATTAAACTAAAAATAAATGACTTCATTATTAAATCT